AATGTGTGTCTGAAATGATAGTGTACAGTACAGGAAATATAGCTGTTACTGAGCTATAATGTGGACTTGGTTCTACTATATCTCTATTTTCTCTCTCTGTGTATGTATGTACTCCAGAGTCTAATTTTGATTTAATTTCCAAAAATGTATGCATTGCTTTAACAATACATGTAATTTGTCATATTACAGATGGGGTCACAGTGGTTATAAAGAGTTATACCCTGAAGAATTTGAAACAGACAGGTAAGGAAAATAGGCTTAATAAAAGAAACTAGGATGGTACAAAATCTGTACTAGAAATTGATTTCCTAACTTTTACAAAGAATATACTTCCCATTGAAAATGTAGCTAGAGAAACAATAGGTGATTTAGTTAGGATGTGACCCCTGTTTTGCCATTCTCTGGTTGATGTTTGGCATGTCTGTAAGCGTTTTGATTTTTATATATAGTATTCCATACAGTAACTCAGTATGGCAGCTTAGAATTTTTATCTCCATTTTAAAGATGAGGAAACAAAAACTCAATCAGAATATTAAAGTGTTAAAGTATATGTTAAAGTGCTGATTTAAAATTCAGATGTTAACATCAATTTTTATCTAGAATGCAAAATATTAAAATATGTACTTTTTCTTTTTTATATAAAAGCTTCTCTTTTTTACTTTTTTATTAGTAGTGATCAGCAAGATATTACCAATGGGAAAAAAACATCTCCTCAGGTAAAATCATCTACCCATGAATCCCGCAAACACAAGAAGTCAAAGAAATCCCACAAAAAAAAGCAGAAAAAAAGGTCACACAAAAAACAGAAGAAAAGCAAAAAGGAAGCCATGGATATAACAGCAGATTCCTCAAGCGAGCTCTCAGAAGAAACTGGGGCTTCCAGTACAAGGCAAAAGAAACAACCGCATAAACGCAAGAAAAAATCCAGGAAAAAGTCTCTCAAAAAACCTGCTTTATTCTTAGAGGCAGAAAGTAACACTTCCCATTCAGATGATTCAGCATCCAGCAGTTCTGAGGAAAGTGAGGAAAGAGACACTAAGAAAACCAAAAGGAAAAAGAGAGAGAAAAAAGTCCATACCCCTGTAGCCAACAATGAAATACAAGAGAGGACAAACAAACGCACAAATTGGAAAGTGGCTACAGATGAAAGGTCTGCTGAGAGCTCAGAGGATGACTAAATGGGAAACATTTTTGTTTTCCACATGACTGTGGATATTTACAGTTCTTACTCCTTGTGGTTTTGCAAGTGACTCTTGTTCTGCACCGGGGCCAGGGGTCAGAGCTATCTTGTGCCATCTGTATGTTCCGACAGACTTCTTGTCTTCTATTTTGGCGTTAAGCTTGATCCCCTTTTCTTGTTAAAAGGGAATCTGGTATTTTGTTATGAAGGTTTCTTGAAGAGATTATTTTTTGCAGTTAATTACATTTAGTATAGAGCACATATACAGCAAATTAAAGGACCCAGAAAGCTGGATCCAGTGGTAACCTGGGTACACTAATCGGAATATTGAATTTGGTAAAGTCAAGGGCTGGGATCAAGAGGTGGATTGGAACTAATGCTGTGTAGGATGGTATGACAAGGCAACACTATATTGCTCTTTGTTTATATAGCAAGTATCACAACTGACTTGTCTTTAGCCTTGGTGCTTTGATCCTTCTGTATTTTGACCCTACAGGTATGGTCCAGTTTACTTAATCAGGAAATGGGCCTAAGAACAAACGTTTTCCTTTCATGGTAACATCCATAGACAACTTATTAGAAGGGACTACAGTTTCCTCAAATTTCCCTGCTGGACGGGGCCTACAGCTGTACTTACTATACCCCTAAACATTGTAATTGGATAGTAAATGGTTTTCTAGTTCCATTGCTGTATATTTGCCTAAATGGACTTGTGTTCAAATTATTTCTTCAGGTGTCATAGATAATCCTTTACCAAATGGGGAAGAATTAGGAAATAGTCATGTTGTCTAATGGTACTCTGGATTCAGGGCAGCAACTGCCATTTAAATGTTGTCTTGTTAATGAACTTTGGGTTTTCCCTGAAACTAAGTTGAATTATTTCCAAAATGAAACAGGCTTCTCAGGGACATACTCACTTCTTCCCAGTCTGCCTTTAGATTAAAGCACCAAGCAGAGACCACGTTATTTCCCTTCGCTATACTGTGATCCTTAGTATGTTAATTCTTAAAAAGCCAAAATGTCACTGAAAGAAGGCTCGCAGAAGACAAGTGCATTTTTTCACTATGGGAAGAAAGATCAAGTGACATATTGTTATTTTTTCCTGATTGTCACTTAATGGGCTGAGTAAAAAGCTTGAAAACTCAGACTTTTGATTTTGGTTCTGCCACTAATTGGTTATGAGGAGGCCCAGAGCAGGTAAATTCACCTTCCTGGCCTTACTTTCCTGATGTGTAATACAGAGTTAATTCACGGTAGCATGACAGTATAAGACACCAGCAGTAGATACAACTATGATGACATTCCATGAGGTGGTATTTTTAGTTCTAACTACTCAATCTGTCCTCTTTACGGGACAGATTTCTAGTAAAGTGCTTGGTCTTAAAATACATGGTTGGACAGAGGTGCCCTATCCCTTAACTATGAGCAGGTGCTACCTTTTGGGATATTTATTTGAAATTTTAATACTTTGGTACTCAATTGTCAATGTTCCATGGTGTGTATTTTTATTTTTGGGATTAGTGGGGGCCTACAGGGAGGGGAATAGACTATAATTACTACCTCTTTATCTAAAACAATTATTTTGTTCCTGGAGCAAGTTAAATCTTTGTTAGAAGGAGCTTTGGCCATATATTTTTTAGCATGCATTGTTTCTGTGCTCTGAAAGTACTGATTTTAAGCAAGGATTCAGGAAAATGGGCCAGTAGAACAGGCCATCTCCAGGAAATTGGCTCTATTTGGTTCCTGACCTTCCCTTCCTCCCATGCTAGCAAGGAATACACATCTTGCCTTTTTTTTTTTTTTTTTGCCATGTTAATCTTTTCTTGGTCATGTATAAGCAATAAAGCTGGTTTTTTGTTCTTAATCTTTCTCAACCCCAAATTTTCTATGCCTTAGGCTTTGATGGTTCTTCCAACCCCCTTAATATGGCTTAGGATGGCTTTTCAAAACCTACAATTCCCCATTTGCACTACTGGCCATGGAACATTTATTTCTAGTGTTCCTGCCAATCAGAGATCTCTATATTCTAAAATGGGATTAAAAGAATAGTTGGAGAATTCACATTTATTGAATATGTGATACAGCCTGGAATTTCTGAATTCCAAATAAATAAATTTCACTCTTTGAACATTTCATCTTTTACTTTTTAGCACCAACAGACTTGATAACAGCCTGATGCTGATCTGACAATGGGCCGACAACCTTCCCCTACTGGCCCTTCAGTCTGCTTAATAACAAGTCCTTTGCTTCTGTCATTCTCCTGGGGGATGGCCTACTGCCCTCCTTTCTGTACAATCTGGGCAAATCGACTGGTGATGGCAAGAGTGGTGTCAATGAAGCGGTCTACACAGCTGGAGAGACAGTTTTCAGTGCGAGAATCTAGGCGATTCCCTGGCTTCTCCACACACTTATCCCAACATAGTTCCATGAAATGATGCACCTAAGATGAAAGAAAAATAGTAACCATTGGGGTCTGCAGATAAGCCTAACTCTGTTTATTAACTTATTTTTGACGCCTGACAAACTATTCTTTAAATCAACCACGGAGTCACTTAGGGCTCTTCTCTTTCTTCATTTCCTAAGTAGTCGCCAATATTGATGCAGATCCTCATCCCTACAGATTGTACATTCTCAGATAGGACTAATAACCTTTTATGTTACCCAAAGCAGCTAGCACTAGTGTGAACAAACTAGGGAACCAATTCATTTCCCCAGACTATTGGATTCATCTCATTCCAAACCTATCCCCTAGAGAAGGTAATTCTTCCACTAACCTTCTGGGGGTTATGGATCCACTCCCCCCAAAAATGCACATACTGGCACAGAAATTACGTGCACTTTCATTAGAATGTTCAGGACCCAAAGATTTCTAGCCAGGGTTCTTGCTGCTTATCCTCCTCCTCCCACCCAAAAGGGAGAAAATAAGCATTTTACCAAGAGCTTACTATCTGTGAGGCTGGGTACTAAGAAGTCAGTTCTCTCTAACGTCCTCAAGGATAGCTGTCATCACCTCCCATTTAAGAGGCGTGATTATGTAGTCTAAGGTCATGTAGCCAGTAAGGAGCCAGGCCGGGTTGAAACCATGCCCAAAGGGCTCCAAACCCTTGTTCTAAATCCATAGTCTACAGCGACTACTTCAGAGTCCACCTTTCTCCAATAATGTACTAGTGCTCCATCGTTTTCAAATACATCGTTGCATATGATCCTCACAATCCAGTGAGGCAGTGGGGTGACGGTGAAACCAAAACTGACAGCAGATGGGTATCTGTTCTACGGGCACGTGGCCTGCAAGGAGCAGAGGGAGGATGAGAACCCAGATCTTCCAAATGCCAGTCTAGTCACGTCGCCGGCTACCTAGGCTCCCGTACCCTTGCGTCGCCCAAATTTTCTTCCCTGCTTTACACCTCTCTTCTCCACGCTGTGCTTACATAGCCGGCACCCGAGCACTACCGGCCACCAGGGACAGGAGGGCCACGATTTGTCTTTTGTAAGAAGAGTGGGATGCAGCCGGGATCGAGAACCAGGTTGCTTCACTGAGCCGCCAGTGTACAGACCTCCGAGCGTGCCCAGGACCAGCATTTCACCTTCCTTTCCCTTCACCCTCCCCGTCCCCGCACCTGTGCAGTAAACTGCGCCTTCTGCTGTTCGGCAGCCACCAAGCGTTGCAATTCCGCTTCATCGGCTTCACCCAGATCCGCCATTGTCCGCCTCAGGCTCGGCACCTTCCCGCAACCGTGTTTGCGCATGCGCGACGGGTGTACACCGCCTCTCGACTTCCTGTTCACCCAGCCTCTCGACTTCCGGTTCACACAGCATTTTCCTCCTCCCTGTTTTCTTTCGTCGACGTGGGCGGGAGTTGTCGCCTAATTGCTTCCGGGTTGGTGGATGACCTTGAGCCCTCAGGAACGAGATGGCGGTTCTCTGGAGACTGAGTGCTCTTTGCGGTGCCCAAGGAGGCCGAGGTGAGGGTTCTTCGCATCCTGAGGTCCTTAGCGCAGCCTCCAGCCAGGGAAGGGGATGGAGGTGAGGACTCATCTGCCAGGTGGGAGGTCTCTTGAGGAGAAGAGAATCCCGAAATCCCAGCAATGACTACTGTAGTCTAGGGGTCCAGATGTTTACCCTAATGTGTATTTCACTTGCTGTGAGCTGACGAGTTGACGGAATAATCAGAAAGAGCTCCCTCTGGAAGTTGCAGTCTGATGAGACTAATCCACATAGGAGTTCTGTTTTCTCCCCGTTCACTGTCCCTAAAATGCTCCCTACTCGCTCTCACCCTGAATCGGGAAAGAGGGTTAGGATCTTGCGCATTTCCCCGGGAGTTGGTGTTTTTGTGTGTGGGAGTGGAGGGGGATCCGTTCGAAAATCATTTAACCTGGGCATTTGTGTTACCACAGACACTGTAGTAATACTAGGATACAAATGTGAAGAAAACGTAGTTCCTGTCCTCAAAGAGCTTTCGTTATGACGAGGAAGACACTGTCATAGTAGTCCAGGCAAGATGAGGTCCTGAGCTAGGAAAGTAGCACAAAGAAGATTGTCTCAAGAAATGTTAAAGAGATATGCCAACAGAATTTGGCAAATGAATTTAGGGGAAAGGTCTCTCATGACTTCCAGATTACTGAGTTAGGTTAAAGAATGCCTGAAATGTCATTAAATAAAGTAGGGAACATACAGATGTTCGTTCCCTAGTCTAACTTCACAGTAGCACCAGTGAAATAGATGCTATCTTCATTTTACAAATGAGGTGTTATCCCCCATTTAGGTTTAAGTAGCTTGCCTGTGGTCATTTAGAAAGTTTGTCAGCCCTGTTAAAGGAGAGGTTCTTAATGATCATCCTAATGACTCTTTCCTCAGCTCTGTTGCTTCGAACTTCAGTGGTCAGACCTGCTCATATTTCAGCATTTCTTCAGGACCAACCTACCCCAGAATGGTGTGGAGTGCAACACATTCACTTGTCACCGAGTCACCATTGTATGTTCTCTCCATCGTTGCTGCTTTCTGGGCTCTAGCCATCTTTACCTGGACTAATTGTCATGCTTTTAGCAGGACTTCCTAAATGTAGGGGGACTCTTGTGTCCAACGCTGTCAAATGAAGACCCTGTTTACACCTTTGGGCAGACAGTGCAATTATGGTTGAATGATGCCATTTATAATCATAGTGGACCTTCTAGCCTAAGTTTAAAAAAAAAAATTTTTTTTTTGAGAGGAGTCTCACTCTGTCACCCAGGCTAGAGTGCAGTGGTGCGATCTTGGCTCACTGCAGTCTCCACCTCCCAGGTTCAAGCAGTTCTCCTGCCTCAGCCTCCTGAGTAGCTGACATTACAGGTGCCCACCACCACGCTAATTTTTGTATTTTTAGTAGAGACGGTGTTTCACCATGGTGGCCAGGCTGGACTTGAACTCCTGACCTCAGGTGATCTGCCCACCTTGGCCTCCCAAAGTGCTAGGATTACAGGCATGAGCCACTGTACCTGGCCCACTGACTCACTGACTTACATTCATAAGGTATCTGTCCACTTCACTCAACCAAGACTGGCTTAATTCTTTTTTTTTTTTTTGAGATGGAATCTGACTCTGTCACCCAGGCTGGAGTGCAGCAGCGTGATCTTGGCTCACTACAACCTCCGCCTCCTGGGTTCAAGCAATTCTCCTGCCTCAGCCCCCTGAGTAGCTGGGATTACAAGCGTGCGCCACAGCCTCCTGAGTAGCTGGGATTACAAGCGTGCGCCACAGCCTCCTGAGTAGCTGGGATTACAAGCGTGCGCCACTACACCTGGCTAATTTTTGTATTTTTAGTAGAGACAGGATTTCGCCATGTTGGTCAGGCTGGTCTCGAACTCCTGACCTCATGATCTGCCCACCTCGGCCTCCCAAAGTGCTGGGATTACAGGCATGAGCCACCATGCCTGACTGACTGGCTTAATTCTGTAGCAATATTTTATCCATCTTCTTGGATCTATCTTCTAATCAATATGTAGGCATTAAGATACCCTTGTGCTAAAAGACTTCAAAAAACAGAGATAGCCTCTCTCTCAACTACTATTTTAATATTTTACTTTCTTTGTACTCAGAGTTATATTCTATATGTATACTGTCTGTCAGTTTGGGTTACTGTGTGGATATGTTGAACATGAAAGATGTGTGTTTCCCACGTCGACTTTTATGAATCTGGTCCTTTTTGTAGCTGGTTCCAAGGCTGCATCTCTCCACTGGACTAGTGAGAGGGTTGTCAGTGTTTTGCTCCTGGGTCTGCTTCCGGCTGCTTATTTGAATCCTTGCTCTGCGATGGACTATTCTCTGGCTGCAACTCTCACTCTTCATGGTCACTGGCAAGTATAGCAATTTCAAGTATAGTTGTCTGCTTAGTTTGTTTGCTGTGAGCTTGTCTCATGTATTATATATGAGGGAGAAGTTGATTGAAATGCTCTGAATTTGTTGAAAACTTTAAAATATATATAAAATATTTATATGCCTGGAATTATATATCCATCTGCCTATTCGATGTCTTTTAATTCGATTTCCATATCAAATAGCACTTTGAATGTAGCCTGTCAAACTGAGTTTCTGATCTCCCCCAATCTGTTCCTCCTGTACTCTTGCCCATGTGAATTAATGGCATTTCCAGTTTTCTCTTCGTTCAAGTCTAAACGTGGTAAGCTCCAAACTTGGTCATTATCCTTGACTCTAGTAGTCGTCTCCTAACTGGTCCCCTTTGTGTCCATTCCCAACACAGTAGACCCAGTGATCCTATTAAAATGGTAAGTTAGAACAAGACTTTCCCCTTCTCAAAATCCCTTTTTGTCTCTTTATATTACTCAAAGTCAGAATTCTTAGAGTGGTCTGCAGACTCTACATGATTGAGTCCCCTGTTTCTTCCCTTATTTTTAGCAGCTCTCTTGTTCACACTGGCTTCCTTGAGATTCCTTGAACATGCCAGGGACATTCCAAGTCTCAGGGCTTTCCTCTTACTGATTCTGCCTGAAACTCTTTTTCTTTTTTTTTTTTT